GGCCTCCCTGAGCCGGCTTGGGACTGGGGGGCGGGCAGGAGGAGGGTTGAATCGGAACCTGAGAGGCAGGAGGAGGATTGAATGGAGGGGCGAGAGGCGGGAGGAGGGGACAAGAGAAAAGATCAGTCGGGACACGGAGTGCAAGGCTGTGAGGAATGGAGGTGAGGAGCAGGACGAGAGAGGACGGGACGGAAGGAGTCCATTGGAGGCCGAGCCTCTGGAGGGGCATGGATGGGGGCCCAGGAGGCAGGACGGGGAGGAGGGCTGAAGGAGATCCCAGACTGGAGAAGAGACCAGGTCGTTCCAGTTTGGGAGCAGAGTTGGGACATTCCTCTACAGGCGGGGGACTAAAAGGTCTTCCCACCTCCGGCCCAGCCTGCGCCCCAGGAAGTGTTACCCCCCTGAGAGAGTTGCCCTTTGGGTGACCCAGGCCAACCCCCCCAGGTCCTCTCCCCCTGGAGGGGGCTGTGCATTTCCACCAGGTTTTCTACCCTGCCCATCTGTGTACCTATCTCTATCCCCATGTGAGTCACTGAGTAGTCCCCCATGTGGCTGCTTAAGAGAATCAACATCCACATGGTTTGCCACAAGAAATAAACACCTTGCATAGAAATCTGACTTTAACAACTTGCAGTTAGTTTTATCTCCCCTAAAAGAAGCATCTCTATAGTTTCAATAAATCCGCGAGGAAAGTATTTAAAATACAAATTTTCCATTTATACGTTGGACCTGCATCACGGACAAAGGAATGTCAAAATCTACACTCATTGCCAGCAAAAACTAGGCCCTAAAATTTAGCTGTAATACCCAAACTTCCAGAAACCTGGAAACAGGCAGAATAATTAAGATGGTGTCCAAGGTTCCAGGTTCCCATCTGCCACAGAGACACATCCTTTGGACTACAGGCCAATGTCTATGTACACAAAACCATAAGTCTGTGTTCCTTGAGCTTCTGCTATCAAAGTTCAGCCAGGTGACGTTGTCAGGAGTAGGTGTCTGCAGTTGGCCCTGTATTTGCTTTTGCAGTCCCCACTCCTTGGTATGTATCGCTTCCCCAGCTCGGGATAGGGACTGGGCCACGTTGCTGCTGATAAATATTAATAACAAGATAGAAAGTGGGGGTAACACTTGTAGTCCACATTACCAAGCCTGAGAATTACTTGTGTTGGATCTTTGGAACCTGTCTATGCCAGAAAAAAAGAATTAAGCAATTTGGAGTCCAATTTCATGTAACTTGCATGCAGTATCCTACATATAACAAACAGGTTTCTGTAAGAGTTAAAAATCGGGTGCTTGCTTTGGCAGTACATATACTAAAATTGGAATGAGATAGAGAAGATTAGCATGGCCCGTGTGCAAGGATGACATGCAAATTTGTAAAGTGGTCCATATTCTTTTTAAAAAAGTCAAAAATCAAATTAGCTCAGTTGGTTAGAGCATGGTGTTGATAACCCCGAGGTCAAGGGTTCGGATCCCCACACCAGCCAGCTGCCAAAAAAAATAAAAATAAAAAGTCTTAAAAAAAAAAAAAGTTAAAAATCAAGCCAAGGTTGGGAAAACAAGAAATGAGACAAGAGGTGTTGGGTGTAATCTCAAGGTCACAGACCAGCAAAAGATAGGGAAGGTGATGCCCAGTGGTGCAGTCGGGGGGTGCCTTTCTCATGGAGTGCCCCCTGGCTTCAGGGGTGCCATGCTGCACCTTTCTTGCAGATCGTGGGAAGCTGATCCCTGCAGAAGGAGAACTCCCATCAGCAGCCTAACCTTCCATCTTTCTACCTGTCCTGGGCTCCTACTTGATACTAAATTCTTTCTTGCTTATTCCCCTCTTGCCTCAGGGACTCTTTTTTCCCCATCCGTTACAGTCTGAGACCTTGATCTGTCTAGTCTACCTGTACCAGGTAATGATGAGAATAACTGGGTAGATCTTGAGGGCCAGACTCTCTAAGGGTCACTGAAGTCCTGCAGGGGACACTATTATTTTAAATCTTAATGGTTTGTCCATTATGAGTCAACTTATAAAGATGAGCACACATCCCCACATATGATCTTGACATTTAGAATATTCTGTTGGAAAGTGGAGGCAGGACCATACCAGAGAGACGAAGTCATGGTACATGAGGGTCTGTTCTTGACTCTTCACGGCCGCCAGTTCCTGTTTCCCTGGGAATGCCCACAAGCTCCACTGGCTGGAAGTGCCTAAGCAGTGACGGTATGCAGCAGAAATTTCCTGAGAAACTTGTGGAGTGTCCTGAGATAGCCGTGTGGAGATGCTTCATGTGTGGATTGGCCTTTGTGTGATTTCCCACATGCATATGTGACTGTACACATGTGGCGGTACGTGAGTGCACAGCTGTGTGTTTGGATGGACATGCATGCAGCTGTGTGTGTGCTCAAGTGTGACTTCACACACGCGTGTGTGTGTGGCTGCATGCATGCATTTGTGTGCCCACATGAGCATCGTGTTGAGGAGCAGGCCCATGGTGATCCTCTGGCATCACCACCAGCTGACACCTGCCTGCTATAGGAAGTGATGAGCTGTTTCTGTAATCTCCTCCCAAGTTTACATTAAATGCTTTTCATGAGAGAATCTTATGTGCTGGTTAATATCTTTGCATTACAGCTGTATGCCTGGATTCCTCCCAAGTTTTGATTGGCTCCTAGAAAAATGTGCTTCCTCTAAATTATTAAAATCTTCCTGTGAAACTGTAACAAGTGGGATTACTCTGTGCCTTGCTGCTTAGTAGCTCATAGTACTTGAAGAAAATCAGAGTTGTTTTCTTTCACTGGAGTCTTAAAGAAATGTTTTCCAAAAGTGATACATGCTTGTAAAAAAACAAAGATATAAAGTAGAAAATAAAAATCACAGGTAAATTCATTCCCTATGGATAATCATTATTAACATTCAGAGCAAATCTGTCCAGAAACTTTAATATATGTGTACTTAAACAAAAATAGGATCATGGTATGCATTCTCTTGTGTAACCTGCTTTTTTCACATAATGAAGCATGCTGTGCATCTTCCCATGTCAATAAATAGAAATCTGTATGTTTTTAACAGCTGCCATAGTATTTTATATATGAATGGGATCATACTTTACAGAACTGTTCCAGTTTTTTACTATTATAAACAATGCTGTGATGAATATCTCAGTAGATCTCCATCTTTAGACGTCTGTCCAGTTGCTTCCTTAGAAGGAATTCCTGCAGTAGAAATGGCTACATCAAAAGTTTTGACATTGGAAGCTTTGATACACGTTGTCATTTTCCCAGTATAATGATCTATTGAATGCTATTTCAGTGATTCTGTCCTTGCTGCATTTTTTTCCCCCATGCTTTTCCTAAGGAGTGTTGACTCTTTTTCAAACCCTAGATGAGTCTGTTACCAGAAAGGAGCATCTGCCTTCATCCTGCACATGCCACAAAGCATGCCATGGCCTGGGAGTGCTCCACCAAGCTGCCAGACCTCTCCCGGCGAGCATACTGTGTCCAGCCCACAGCTCCTCAAGGAGGAAGAGGGCCCAGAGTAGGAGTACACCCTGAGCAGCTGCCTCTGGTGAGTATACCAGCCCTGAGGCCCTGAGGGGGCTTCATAGGGTTAGCAAAGGGTCCAGGAAAAAGGAAAGACAAGAAAGCCTTACAGTAACCAAGGGGGACCCGGTCTGTGGCCCCTCGCTGTCAGAGGTCCTTCTTTCTGAGGTAGACCAGGATGGCCATCCACAGGCCAGAACAGATGTGAGGGGATGGGAACCACAAGACCCTCTCTGGCCCTCTCCTGCATCCACGACAGAAATGTCCCCCTGATGTAGGGGGATGGAGGAGGAGCAGAAGAACACTGAGTAGAGGCTGTCCCCACCCCAGGAACAAGATGGCCTGTGTCTGTTGCAAGGTGAGGAACTGCACAGGAAGGTGGAAACCCATTCAGTACCTTGATTCAGTTCCTCCCTGCCTTAGCTGGAGCAACAACCCTGAAGTTGGCTGAAGTGCTAGAGCAGGGTTGGCAAACTATGGCCTGTGGGCCAAATCCCACCTTCTCCCTATTTGTATAAGTAAAGTTTTATTGGCACACAGCCATGCCCATCATTTCCAGATGCTCCATGGCTGGGTTTGCACTACAGTGGCAGAATTGAGCAGCTGAGACGCAGACAGTGTGACCCACAAAGTCTAAAATATTTGCTATCTGGCCCTTTATTGAAAAAGTTTGCTGACCCCTATCCTAGAGATTTGTAGTGAGGGGGCAGTGAAAGGCCCTGAGGCCTGGGCTGCTTTCAGGGAGTCAAGACCCTCTTGCCCATAAGAAGGCCCTGTCACTTGATTCCACCTTGAACTCACCCAGCAGACTTCATAGCTGGGGCTCAGCCATGGGGAGCATCTTGGGCCCAGTGGTGGGAGCATTTTAAATGCATCCAGCAGATGTGACTGGCCAGAGAGAATCATTTAAATACATGCATTTACCAAGAGCCCAGCTCTGTTATTTTGGCCAATGGCAGATTGTGAGTTCTTTGTGCTTGAAACCTCCCAGGCTCAATTCTTCCCTGTCATGATATTGGTCTGTTTCTTCTCTCCTCACACCACCCCCACTTTTTTCTGCCAGAACAAAGAATGCTTTCTGCACTCTAGAAAACAAGTGCAAATCTGTGGTTAATAGGGCTAAGTAACTCTTCTAGACCTATAAGACATCAGGAGCCCTTATAGACTATTTTGGAGGGAAAGTGCAATTTAAAGCTAGAGAAAAGTTAGTGACCCTTGGAAAGGGATTAGAAACATCAGGGAATGAACCAGCCTTCCAGAAGAGTTTATGCTTGGAGGGGTTTTTGCAGCCATGGGGCCACTTTACAGCAGTCCCTTCAGATGCTCCCCATGGCTGAGCCCTGGCCATTGATTACAGGAGGCAGAAAGCCATGTGGCCACCACCCCAGACATCCCTTTTTGTTGCATGGGGACTGTTTTTTGTAGCTCCCAGCTCTGCTGGAAGTGCTTCTTGGGGTGGGCTGATGGCTAAGCCATGCACCACGCTGGTGCTTGCCTGCCTGACCCCATGTCACCCTCACATAGCTTGGTGAGGCTCAGAGAGGTCATGTGACTTGTCCGGGTGACTTGGTTAGTGAGCTCAGGACTGGGATTTGAACCCAGGCAAACGCTGTTGGCTGCTGTGTGTACTGCTTGTCCCCCATATCCCTGCATGGTCCCTTATACCTATTGCTGTAGCTTCTTCAAGGGGACGATAGTGAACACTGAAGAAGCTAAAAGGCACATGGCAAGCGGTCCCTTAGTCCATGAGTGGTGAATGGGTAGCTGACCTGGCACCCCCCAACCCCAGTCCACCTGCAGCTACGGGGCTCTGGGGTCTCACTTTGCTACAGGCTGCCAAGTGCTGGTTTCATCATGATTGTTTCCTTTTCATTGTTATTACTATTTTCCTTAAAAAACAAACCAAACCAAACAAACTTGATTTTTCTAAAGACACAGTAAGGCCCCCATATCACCTCTGTGCAGTGTTGGAATGAAGGAGAAGGCTTTGCTTTATGGGAGAATTGGGGGAGCTGTAGGCGCCGCTGCAGTCTCTGAAGTGAAGAAGTCACTCATTCAGCAACACTTTCTGTGACATTGCCTGGGTTGCCGTGCCCCTGCCGTCAGTCACTGGTGCAGCTTGTCTACTGCTCTTGCTAAAGCACCTTGCCCGTGCTGAAGTCCCTGCAGGGGTTCTTGTCCCCCTGCTGTAAAATCCACACTGCTGTGTGGCTCCCGCCGCTCTCTGGCCTGACCCCCCTCTTGCCGCACTGTCCCTGGCCTCTGACCCTGCTGTTGTCATCTGTTGCTCCTTCACCTCTTGCCTCCCCCCTCCCCTACCAGATAGATCCCCAGCCAGCTTTCAGAATGTGGCCCAGGTGTCACCACCACCACCACTGGCTGAATTCAGTGCCTCCGGGCCCCTGAGGCACTCTGTACTCTGCCACCTAACCCTTAGAGGTCTGCCCAGATGCTGTCTCCTCCCTGCTTCTCAGCGCTGAGTCACACCCTGCTCGGTGCTTGTGCAGCTTGCAGTGCCCTCTTTTCTGTGTCTCCTGCTGGACTGCAGGCCCCCAGAAGAGGGGTTGTGTGTTTTTTATTTTTTTGTCCTAAGTGCACTGCCTGTCACATGGGTAGACACCTGGTAAATATTGGAAGGATGGATAGACGGATGGAATAGTCAATGAATGAATGAGTGGGTATGTGGGTGGGTGGGTGGCTAAGTGTAGTCTTGTGCGAAAGGCCTGGTCAGCTGTCACAGGGGGTACACAAGTGCATTAGGCCTCATTTGTGCCCTGCAGACCATGGTAGAAGTCAAGGAGGAAGACTTGGCCAATCCTGGTGATGAGAAGGCCATAGCTCTGTGAATATGGCCAATTCTTGGCCCTCTCTCTCCCATTCTTTCAGGGATGGAATGGAAGAGTGGGAACTCGTGGAGACTGAGGCTCACAGTGAAGTCAGGTCAAGAAATGCTATAAACCCATCAAACGCAAGGCACAGGCAGATGCTGTTAACGCCATGGCTGAGACATGTTGTGCTCTTCCTGGGCATCAGGTCCTAGTCTAAGCACTCGGTTCAGTTTGCACTTGGACCCTGCCGGAGCCCTCTACAGCAGGTGCAGTGCTGCGCCCCGTGCCTCAGGTGAGGCTGTGTGCCTGCTGACCAGTGTGCTTTCTTGACCACAGATCCCTTGGCCAAGCAGAAGGGAACCATTAACAGTCTGAGAAGCCAGTCGGGAGCCTCAGGGACGCCCAGCTCACCTGCAAGATGTGGACAGCCCTTGTGCTCACGTGGATTTTCTTGTTGTCCCTATCTGAAAGCCAAGTGGCAGCCAATGATCCACGTAAGTGAGAAAGCTGTGTGACTTCTGGACGGCCCCACAGTGGCCCCAAAGCATCCCAAGCCCATGAGATAGGTGTCTGCAGACACTGGCCAGTGTGGGGAGGGTGCCCCCAACAGAACCAGGCAGCTGAGCCCTGAAAGGTTCACTTGCTACCCTGCAAGATTTCATGAGTTCTATAAATGTAATCTTTCTTGGGGAGCTCTTTTATCCATACATCACATATTTAATTGCGCTCCTAGTCTCTGCCAGGAGCTATTCATCTCCAAGAATTATTGCAGCGAATCCTTTGGTAAAGCCAAGAGTTCTTTTATGATGTGAATATCTGCACAACAATCTATCTGCTTTGTAAACTTGGATGTGTGTTTAGTGGGTCTTTTAATGGTGAGTCACACCTGTAATGTGAGACTTTCACTCTGATGTTTTGGGGACTGGATTAAATGAAGTGAAGCTCTTAATAAGCCTTTTGTGGGCTGGGCGTTCAGAGAGGGCAAAGGAGTTCTAAAATCAAAGTGCCAAAGGCTTCTGCGGACGCGGGCAGAGAGAAGAGGAGGGGAACGTGTTCACACATCACCTCCCTCGCCTGTCGCTGGGCCGAGAAGAGAGGGCACAGCAGAGCCAGCCCACAGGGCCAGACAGTAGGACAATCTCTGAGCAGTCACCTTCGTGTGAACAAAAATGATCGTGTCTCTTTTTCTCCTTTTTCTGGCTTTAAGGATTTAACTTTGTCCTTCACAAGGTGTGGAATAAATTAGTCAAGAAAGATGCATCTGTGCAAACCCTTACAACAGCTGATAATAACACGTCCGAGAATACAGCCATGGTGACATCTTCTCCTGTCACATTGACCACAGGGACTTTGGTAGCCAACCTCAACTCTACTGAAGTCACAGCAGAGACAACAAACAGGACACATGCAGGCGCGGTAGCTACTACAGAAGGTATGGCTGATGGTGCGGCCTCCAGTGTGCCTGTGCCACCTGTCCCCACAGCCACAGGGCAGACTCTGTCCACTACTGCTGCCTGGCTTCCACCACTCAGCTCATCCCGTGGGCAAGTGCCAAGTAGCACCACATCTCTAAGGACAGTGACACTGACAACATCGGCCACACGTGCGCAGACTGTTACAACCACAACAAACACAAGTGGTCCAACAAGTGCTCACAGCCCTTCCAAGCCCACGCCCAGAAACTCCACTGCAAGCCTTGCACCCCCCAGGAGTCCCCAAGCACAAGGCCCCACCATCCCGATGTCAATGGACTGGTCTGTGGTTGACACAGCAAGTAGGCCCGCACCCCACTCCACCACGAGCCCAGAGCTCACCAACCCCCCCTCCACCAAGACTCCAGAGCCCACCACCTCCTCCTCCACCAGGACTCCAGAGCCCATCACCACCCCCTCCACCAAGACTCCAGAGCCCACCACCACCCCCTCCGTGGTTTCAGTGCCCTCAACAGTGGTGACCACCACCAAGGAACAAGCTGAGGAGTCAGCTGCCAACAGAGTGCCAGTGCCTCACACCAGCTTGAGCCCTGAGGTGGAGGCCACATCCCCCATGACACAGCCAAGCCCTATTCCATCCATCTGGGGAGCCAAAGGGCCAGGCACATCCCAGACACCAGAGCTGGTGGAGACCAAAGCCACACCTGGTACTGTTTCCACTTGGCCAATACCCAGGAGCTCAGGGGACCCTAAGATGCCAGCCACGGACTCATGCTTGCCCAGCACCCAAGGCCAGTACTTGGTGGTGACCACCAAGCCCCTGATCCTACCCCCAGTGAGCAAAACTTTTCTCCTGGTAGTGCTCTTACTCGGGGTGACCCTTCTCATCGCAATCCTGGTTTTGTTTGCCCTGCAGGCCTACGAGAGCTACAAGAAGAAAGACTACACCCAGGTGGACTATTTAATCAATGGAATGTATGCAGACTCAGAAATGTGAGGCTGGGGGGGCCCGGCCTTTGGTGGCTCCAGTGGGTGCTGGAAGGCTGGGCCTCTCCCTCGTCCTTTCACCATGCCTCTGAGACCAAACCAAGTGCTTCCAAATTCTTTTGGTGCAATTTAGGAAATATGCCAGATGCTTAAACACATTTAATTGCTGTCAGATTAATTCCGTGATCACTAAAGAGTTGCTGCTTTTTTCATATTTATTTTTGTAAATGATCACGTGCACAGGAGCAGGGTGATCCTACTGTGGGGGGAGTGGTGGGCAGGGCTCCAGCCCGGTCTCGGCTCCTGACCAGAACGCTCTCGTTCAGACCGTTTCCGCATTCGTGTCAGCGTGTCCCACCCACAGCTGCTCATGGTGGAGCTTTTTTGAGATGCGTATGACGGTGGGTTTTGTAAACGTTTAATATAACATGATGTCCTGGAGGTCTGCTGTGTCTGTGCCACTTTCTTGGGCTTCATTCTGATACCTAAACCTGCCGGGGCGCTGGGCAGGAGGTCCCCAGCCAGTCTCCTGTAATCTTCCTTTTTCTGAGCTATCCGGTGGTGAACTTGGAGGCTGATTTGAGCATGAAAGAGCTGAGTCCAGCACAGAGCCCGGGCAGTGTGGCACAGTCACAGTGCACCTGTACAGCTAAGGAGGCAGGTTGCCTGTGACTGGTGTTAGAGGGACTGATGACCTTGCCCCAGGTCACCCTGGGCCCCAGGGGCAGGCCTGGGATTTGACCCCAGAGCCTACTCAGCAGGATGATTCCCCTGGGTCCCAGCCCCCCATCCCAAACAGCAGTCAGAGCCAACACTGGCCGTGTGCTTACGACATGCCAACCACTGTCCTGTAATGCTGAATGTGTGTGACTCATGGGCCCTCACCACAGCCCCAGGAGATCAGCACAGAGAGAAGGAAGTCACCCACTGAGGGACAGAGTCAGGATTAAACCCTGGTTCTAGCATCCCAACTCTTTCTTTACTTTTTTTTAACCGCCTGCCAGGGGCCTTCTGGACTTTCTCTGCCTGCCTGCCCAAGGCAGTGAGAGCTAGGGCCGAACTCATGGGCCAGGGCATCTCGCAAAGCTGTGTTCCAAGCCAACTCCGCCGCTGCTAACCGTGACCTGCAGCAAGTTATGGAATGTCCTAGAGCTTGACTTCATCTGAGGAGAGACCAAATAACTTCTGTTGTAAACGTGGCAGCCGTGGGCCTGGCCTGGAACAGGGAAGGGGCATTGGCTGCTGCTTGTCAGCCACTCTGAACACCGGGGAAGAGACCGTCTTTGCAGCCTCCAGTTCCCCCCTCACAGAGATCTCCTTGGGCTAAGTCTGGTGTCCAGCTTCTCATTTGAACTCTGCCTCCTCCAAAAAGGATTTCAAATGACCCTTAATAAAAAACAAAGATAGTAAACTTCTAAACTGTTTCAAATAGCTCAAAAGCCAAGGGTGGAGAAGTAAACCGTGGAGAGAACGAATCAGAACTTCCAAACAGTCCTCACCTCCTGTCTTCTACCTCTCTCCATCGGGTTTCCTCCAGCCTTTCTTTTCTTCTTGATTAGTCCTGCTGGCCCCACTGGCCCCCGTCCCTCCTCCGAGGACTCCCCATCTCTGAGTCATGGCATCTACACTGCCCGCTGTGCTCCAGCGAGTCTGTGGCCTTTGGTTTCTCCCTTCCCCAGCAGGCTGCTCACAACCTGAGCCACATTTGCATGTTTCATCACAGGTGTTGGCACTGGTGACAGCTGGTAAGGTGGCTGGCTCCCTGCCTTGTCACTGTGGCTGTCCTGAGCACCAGGCCAGTTCACAGCATTGTCCTGTCTGAGAAGCCACCCGCTGCCTGGAACAGGTAGTTCTACTCGCCAGGGGTGGAGAAGCCAGGGGCTCTAGAGAAGCCCTTTCCTCTGCCAGGCCCAGTAAGGGCAGGCTCCCCACCCTGGCTGGCTGAGCTTCACCCAGAGAGCCAGAGCCCCAGACCCACGTGGGCCATGGCTGGAGGGCGTTCTCCAGCCTGTGGGCATCTCCTTTCTGGCAAGGTGCTATGAGGGGCAACCTGCAGATCTGGACTTCAGCTTGTGACCAGGGGCCTCTACTTGGCACCCCTATATCCAAGGAGTGGGAACAAGGGATCCCCAGGTTCAGCCTGCTCCCTGCACCCACCCAGTGCCCCAAATTCTTTCAGCCCTCAAGAGAAGTGGTCACACTCTGCCCCTCCCTCTTTGTGGATCCTACTCTTGGTCACCCCCAATCATTCTCTCTTGGGTGGCCCTCCTAGTGGGCCACAAGTGACTCAAACTCATGGCATCAAAGGCTGAGCTCAGCTTCAGCCCTCAGGAGTGTGTTCAGACGTAAGGGTCCTCCCTGTACCTAACGGAATCACCACTGACCTGAGCTAGAAACTTGTGCTTCAGCCTTGAGTTCAATTGACCATCCCAAATATGCCTATAACCCAGCCGCCGCACCTCCCCTGCCCTGCCCTGCTATAGCCCTGCGTGGGGCCCCACCACCAACCGCCTGCCCACTCTGCACCCAGGCCAGCCTCAGCCCATCCATCCTGCACCCTGAGGCCAGGGACCTCTCAAAATGCAAATCTGACCACACCTGTTTCTGCCCAATGCCCTTCCCTGGGTAAAGGCCAAGCTCCTCTGCCCAGCATTCCAGGCCAGGGCAGAGAACCCTCCAGTGGGTCCTAGCCAAGCAGAGCACGAGAGAAAGAGCTGGTCTCAGGAAGCCCACGGGAGAGGCCCCAGGCCATCTCCCTGCCTTGGACGACACCAGGCCCTGTCCTGGCCTGCACGAGATTCCCATTCAGCATCAGTTCATCAGGTGCTTATTGAGCACCTACTGTTAGCCTGGGGATTCAGAAATGAAGTGGCCCTCCCCTGCCCTCCAGGAGCTCAGGGCTTGGTTGGTGAGACCCCACCCACAGTGTTGGAGAGGGCAAGACGTGGGCACACAGAGGAGGCCCCTCACCCACCTGGGGAGCTCCAGGAAGTCTGCCTGGCAGAGGGGACCTCGGAGCCTCCCTCTTCTGGGCTTTTTGTTCTTGCAGCAGGGGCGGGAGCTCATCTTGGGCCCAGCGCAGCACTGGCATACAGGGGGCACAGTCCCATTTGATGGATGAGAGTCTGCATGGAAGGTGCCAGAAGACAAGGCAGATATGAGAGTCCAGTTTGGGGCCTGCCCCAAAAGGGGTTCTCTTCCCTTCACAGTAAGGAAACTGAGGCACAGACAGGCCAAGGTGCTTATCCAAGCTCACCCATCAAGCAAGATGCAGGACAGGATTCACACCTCTTGGGTGTGTCTGTCCACAAACATTGGCCGTGGAGCGGGAGCACGAGGTGGCCACAGAGAGTGGAGGCTCCTTTTCCAAAGCTGGAGCCAGCAGTTTCCTCTAGGGGCACCCACGTCCCCTGGTGAAGGAAGTCCAAGGGCTCCCCCTGGCGGCCGCGGCTCCCTCCTGGCCTGCCTCCCTTGTGCGGGGACTGGCCCTGGCCAGGGACACTCTGCCGTGCCCTTCTCCCCAGTGTGGTGTCCACCCCCCACCCAGCCCAACTTTGCCTGTGGAAATCCCTCCAGACTAGCTCCCCTGACACCCAGAAGCCTTCCTGGTTACCCCACACTGGAGAACTCTTGCCCGCCTTGCTGCTCCCAGACCAGGGTGTCTCGTCTCCCATGGGGACAGAATGTTCTAGGTGGAATTATGTCATATATGTCTGTAACTGTCTCTCTGCCAGAAGGAAGCCGTGAGTTCAGGGAGGATACAGTAAACTCACATACAGGCCCTGAGCTTCTGTCCTAGAGTTGACCAGCGGGGTCACTTGGGGCAAACCGTGTCACACTCAGCCACTATTTTTATATCTACAATTTCACTTAAAAATAAGGGGGATGGGCAGGGTTTATCCAGCACAGTGACTGATAATAGCTGATTTTTTTGAGCACTGACTATGTGACAGGCTGCAAGATGTAGCTGTCGTCTCATTTAATTATCATAGTTCGTGGTCTTCCTGCTCCCTACCCCACCCCCGGCTCATCCTCCACTCAGCAGCCAGAGGACATTTTAAAAACATAACTCAGATCATAATACTCCCCTGCTCAGTTCCCTCCAATGGCCTTTCACTGCGATTAGAAAAAGACATCCAAACATTTGAACTAAAAATGCACATGGCCAGAGGGAGGCATTTGTGAAAAGCCAGGGAAGTGGGAGGTCCAGGCAGGGGGAGACCAGCAAAGGCAGAGCCCCCAGATGGGCACAAGGGAGAGCCAAGCCAGGGCCCGGGTGGGGACAAGTGACACAGCAGGGTGAGGAGTGTGGAGGCTTTGGGGGAGTTTTAAGCAGAGGGATAACACCATCTGATCGAGGGCTTAACAGATTATTTTATTACACTGCAGTATTTGCAGATGAAGTGATACGCAGTCTGAGGTTCGCTTTAAAATGCTTCAGCACGAGGTGATGGGGGAAAGACACAACAGGACAGCATGTCTCTGCATCTGTCCAAGGTGGCTGAGGGGTTCGTGGGGGAGATCTGTTTCCCTCTCTCTGTGTTTGTGTGTTTGGAAGTTTCCGTAATCAAAAGTAAGGCCGGCCCGGTGGCGCACTGCTACAGTGCGCCACTTGGGAAGCGCAGTGGCGCTCCCGCCGAGGGTTCGGATCCCACATGCAGACCGGCCGCTCACTGGCTGAGCGAGGTGCGGGAGCAACACTGAGGGTTGCGATCCCGTGGCGGGTCCCGGTCCGGTACGGGCGCGACACTGAGGGTTGCGATCCATTGCCGGTCACGAAAAAAGACAAAAAGGAAAAAAAAAAAAAAAAGTTAGAAGAGCGGCTGGCCCATTAGCTCAGTTGGTTAGAGCATGGTGTTCTAGTGTCAAGGTCAAGGGTTTGGAGCTCCATACTGGCCAGGGGCCAAAAATAATAATGATAAAGTTAAAAGAAAAAGCAAAAGAAAGGGAGAGGGGAAGGAAGGGTAGAGTTGTGACTTACATCTCACAAGTAAGTGGTCACTCTGGTTGCGACCAGCTGGGAGGCTGCCCAGTCCTCGGCAGGAGCGAGGGTATCGGCTCGGACCAGGGCACGTTTGCACAGATGGGAAGAA